GTACATAACAACAACAATTACTAAAAGAATACAAAAAAAATGTTTAGTGGATTTTACTTCTTCAGAGTTATACAATTGTCATTATGATCTAATTTTAGGGCAAGTTTTCAGGGTTCATATGTAGCACATACCTACTTCATTCTTGTAGGTAGGGGACATACAATATATAATCATAGGTATAAACCACATTTTGTTTAGTCATTTGTCAGCTGATGGGCAGTTAGGTTATTTCCACTTTTTTTACTACTATGATTATGGCTGCTATGAAAGTTCATGTAGAAGGATGTGTGCATGTATATCTTTTTCATTCTCTTGATCATATATGTCGTTGTTAGGTGCTGTTGAGTTGAGCATGACTCATAATGACCCTGTGAACAAGTCCTATCTTGTGCCATCCTCATTACTCTGACACACTTGAGCCACATCTCTGACACGGCTGCAGCAGTCACTCTGTCAGTCCACCTGGTTGCAGGTCTTCGTCTTTTCCACTGACCCTCCACCTTCCAAGCAGGATGTCTTTTTCCAAGAAGTAGCCCCTCCTAGCATGCCCACAGTATGAGCTGAGGCTTCACCATCTTTGCCTCTAAGGAGCACTCTCATTGCCCTTTTTAGGACATAATCTGTTCTTTCAGCAGTCCTTGAGATATTCGGGATTCACAGTCTTATGGTAATGTAAAGATGGGCAGTCTCTTCTGATGTGATTTGCAGCCTCAGAAACCCTATGGTGGGTCAGCAGTGGGGGTGGTTCCAGCTTGCAGAAGTGAAAGAGCAGGGAAATTTAACATTATGAGGAAATTGCCAAACTGTTTTCTAAATTGGCTGTGCCATTTAAAGCCCCATGAGCCATGTATGAGAGATGCAGTTCCTCCATGTTCTCACCAACATTCACTATCATTATTTTCTTTTTACTTTTGGCTCATCTGAGTCAAATGACGAATTAATTGCATTAGGTAAATCTACCATCAAGGACCTCTCCTGAGTACTGAGAAGCAATGATGTCAGTCTTGAGACTAAGGTGCACCTGACCAAATTCAGGGTCTTTGCAATTACTTTCTGTGCCTCAAAGAGCTATGTATAATAACTAAGGGTGATAGAATTGATGCCTTTGAATGTGGTGCTGGAGAAGCGTCTCGAACATACCATGGGCCACCAAGAAAACAGATAGGTCTGTTTTGGAGAGAGTGAAACCAAGTTTCTCCTTGGAGGCTAGGATTTTGAAGCTCTGTCTTATATACTTTAGTGCATGTGGCCAGGAGAATGACATCATAAGATTTTGAAGCTACATGTGGCCAGAAGGGACAGATTCTTAGGGAATGACATCATGCTTAAAAGGGTGGAGGGACAGCACAGGAGAAGACGACCCTGAATGAGATGGATTAATACAGTGACTAGGGCAATCAGGGGTAGATTTATCAGAGTCAGTGAGACTGCCTCAGGACAGGGCAAGCTTCAGAGCTGTGGTATATAGGGTTGCTATGATTTGAAGATGACTTGGTGACACATAACAACAACAGTAGATATAACAGGAGCCCTGGATGCTATAATGAATTATGGGTGTAGTTGCAAACCTAAAGGTTAGAGGTTCAAGCCCATAAGTGATTCTGTGAAAGAAAGATGGGCACTCTCCTCCATAAAGATTTAAAGCTTCAAAAACATAAGTCTGCTGTAGTTGAACTTGACTCAATAACTGCAGGGTTTTGTTTGGTAGGTATAAAATGACATCATTTGTGACTTTGCTCAGAATTTCCCTAATAACTAATGATGGTGGGCATCTTATGTGCTTATTGACCATCTGTATATTTTCTTTCAAGAAATATACACCCAAAACCTTTGATAATTTTTTAAATTGTTATTTTTTAATTGAGTTGTCATTTTAAAAATAGTTTCTGAAGACAAGTACCTAATCAGACACATAGTTTACAAATAATCTCTCCCATCCTGTGGGTTAAGTATGGGTTATTTATTCATTTTCTTGTTATTGTCCTGGGAAACAGAAAGTTTCAAATATTTGTAAAATCTGATATATGTTTTCCTTTTGCGATTCATTCTTTTGGTGTTGTAGCTAAGAAACCACTGTTGAATCTACAGTTACAAAGATTTGGGCCTTTGTTTTTTGAGAATTTTATCTCTCTCTCTCTTGAGAATTACATCTGTCATATATTGCTCATAGGACTTGAGCGCAAGCCCAAGGCTTGAGCTCTTACATTTATGTCTGTGGTCCATTTTGATGCAACATGGTAAATGGTATGAGGTAAAGGCCCAATTTCATGTGGATATGGATATTTTGTTGTTGATGATTGCGATCAAGTCAAGCACAATGCATAGCGACTCTATGAACAAAAGACTTAATGTCTTTCCATAACTATTCTCTTTTCTCCAAATTCATAGAGTTTCCAGAGGCATCTAGTTTAGAAAGTTGATGCCACTCCTTCTTCCAAACCTGTTATACAACTAGGAGCTCCAGTAAACACTGTCCACATTGGGAAAACATTCTGATATTTGATACCCCTATGACACAAGGTTCAGCATCACAGCAAACCCAGGTTACTTCATACACCACATTGACAAAGAGTGATGTACAAAGTGGAGAGTGGTCCTCTAGATATAACAACATTAGTCTCATTTAGCGTCATGGAGAGAGGCCAGTTGGACTAGTGGACCGAAAGCAATGCTACCAAGCCAAAGGTGGGTGACTCTAATCTGGGGCCCAAAGGCCTAACATTCTTCTAGGTCATATAGCCCTGGTGTGTCCACTTGCTGTACAGAGGTAACTTGTCACAGTGAAGCTGAACACTGTGACACTGATGTGTCAAATGTGATAACGGTTACCCGTGGTGGACAGTGTTTGGTGGCGCTCGCCAGTTAAAACAAGCTTGGAAGTAGGAGTGGCATCCACTTTGGTAAATAGCTTGCTTCTGGAAACCCTATGAATCTGGAGAAAGGATGAAAGTCATGCACGCAAGTGTTGAGGACTTTCATTCATAGGGTCGCTATGAGTCACCTATGACTCGATGGCACTGAACAACAACAACAAACAACAATAAGCAGTCCCGAAATCAAAAGTCGGATTGGATTGGGAAAATCTGCTTTCATGGACCTCTCCAGAGTGCTGAAGAGCAACAATGTCAGTCTAGATACAAAGGTGCGCCTAATCCAGGCTATAGTCTTCTCAACTACTTGTTATGCTTCAGAGAGTTGGACAATGACTAGGGATGACAGAAGATTAATAGATGCGCACAAGCTGTGGTACTGGAGAAGAGTCTTGAACATACCATGGGCTGCCAAGAACAAATGGGTCTGTCTTGGAGAGGGTGAAACCAAGTCTCTCCTTGGAGGATAGTATTTTGAAGCTCAGCCTCACTTACTTTGGGCATATGGCCAGGAGAGACTGGTCCTTGGAGAAGGACATCATGCTCAGAAGGGTGGACGGACAGCACAGAAGAGGGAGACCCTGGATGAGATGGATTGATACAGTAACTGACGCAAAGGGGATTGGGGTGTCAGATTTAGTGAAACTGGTTCAAGACAAGGGTTCAGAGCTGTTGTTTATAGGGTCACTGTACGTCACAAGTGACTCAATGGCATATAAAAACAGTAACATACTGTGACAGGTTTGGAAGCAGGAGCAGTATCCACTTCCTAAATAACATACCTCAGAAACTCTATGAACTTTGATAAATGTCAGTAACTGTATAGAGGGGCTTCAAGCCTTTTGTTCATAGGGTTGCTATGAGTAGTGCTCAATTCAAAGACAATCAACAGCAAGTGTCATCAAGTTGAATATGACTCAGAGTAAGGTTTGCACAAAAGACCTGAACCCTGTTCTATAACATCATTTCTGTACATTTATAGAGTTTAGGGAGTTTGTAGAGTTTCCAGAGGCATCTAGTTTAGGAAGTGGATGCCACTCCTGTTTCCCAGCATGAATCAATCTGGAAGCTCATCCAAACATTGTACACAATGAGTGACCATTACGGTATTTGACAAGACTACAGAACAGTGTGCAGCATCACAGCAACTCTGGCTTGTTCAGTACAGCAAAACGATTGCTATGTCATTTAAAGAATATTCATTCGAAAAGTAATACATTTGGCCTGAGGGCCAAATCACACCCTCTAGTAGACCTCTACCCTTGGTCAAAGGCTCAAGGACACCCACTTTGGGGGGCGGAGGGGAGAGCAGTAACACACATCAAACACGACCCAAAAAACTTCCCTTACGTGACTGACATGGCCACCATCAAGATGCTAGCTAGCAGCCAAACTCCCAGAGTGGAGGCCCCAGGCCCCTGGCCAGCCTGCAGACCCATCCCATTTAAGTGCTATCTTAAAATACCACTCAAATATCCATATCCACATGAAATTGGTCCTTAGTGCTCATTGGGGGAAAGAATGATGAGGCTTCACATCACATACTTTGGGCATGTTGCTAAAGGGGCTATTCCTTGGATAAGAACTTGATGCTGGGAATGGTGGAATGTCGGCAAAGGTGAAGAAGACCCTCAGCCAAGTGGATTGACAGAGTGACTGCCGCAATGGGCTCTTGTGTGTCAGGAAGTGTGAGGATGGCACAGGATAGGACAGGGTTCAGGTCTTCTGTTCATAGGGTTGCTGTGAGTCTATAGTTGATTTGACGGCACTTAACTACAACAACAGTATTTTATAGAGATTTTTTTTCCATTTTGTTTTTATATTGCTTATTGTCATAGGTTTGTTTTTAAGCTAATTACTTATCAGTGTAATAGTAGAATACCTGATCTCCCAAGTAGAGTAATACCAAGTATATTTCATTTTTTTAAAAAATCAAGGAAAATTACAAATGTTCACAATTCACTGTGGGTTTTTCCTTCTTATAATTGTTATTTTCCTATAACTTGCTATAGTTGAAGATGGGCAATTAAACGGAAAGGTAAGCTTTTTAGAAAAGGATTGCTGAAGATTTTTACATATAATTTTAAAGCCTGGAAAGTATAACTATGAATCTCTTTCCCGTTATGACAGACAACAGAAACCACCTTCAGAACCCCGCCAGACAAGAGTGAAGAGATCAACGGGTGTTTTCTGAACCCTCTGTTAATACCATCAGACAGTTCACCAGTAAACGTGAAAAAGAAAGTAGACGACATAAACGACCTTCCCTTCGAGAGCCAGCGAAGCATACCAATGGCGGTGACTGATGCATTAGAACATATCATGGAACAGCTCAATGTTTTGACCCAGGTGGGCTGGCATGCACTCTGTGGTAAGAAATTCAGAACATCCCTGGGTAGAGTGGGTTGCAAACTTAGTTACTTCTTAGCAAGGCAAGTTCCAGATGGCAATAAATAGGGCAGAAACCCCTCTGCCGAGCTCCGCTCCGCAGAGCATGTGAGAGTGTACCGCTAGCCCGTGCCTGTACTCACGGGCACACTTACACATACACATTGTGTTCTCTCTCTCCTCCTAAGGCCAGGAAGGAGTCATGTGTGCTATGAATAGTGGTCTTACTCTGTATTAGAAGCTAATTTGTTTCTTAACAGTAATGCTTTTGCTGGGAATTCATCTGTGTGTTTAGAAGATTAGCTTTGATCTAATCCAAAAGAAGTATTTAGGGCCTAGAGAAAAATAGCAAGTTACTATGAAATATTGCCAGTGCAATATAGTTCTTCACTCCAAAACTATTCACTGTCCAGTATGATGTTGTCAATTACGTTCAAGTCGAGCATGACTCATAGCAACCCTATGAACAAAAGGCCTGAAGCTCCTCTCTAACTATCAACATTTATCAAAGTTCATAGCGTTTCTGGAGGTATGTTCTTTAGAAGTGGATGCCACTCCTGCTTCCAAACCTGTCATAGTATGCTATGGTTATTATGTATCATTGAGTCGCCTGCAATGTATATTGGCTACCCTATGTACGGCAGCTCTGAACCCTTCCCTGTCCTGAGCCAGTATAGCATCCCTTATTCCAAAGCCCCTTACTTCACTTCCTTTTCCTATTTTGAGAATTAATCTTTCAGCAAGTGGTATAAATTTCAGAGACTGTCTGTCTGTACCTTCAGAATTCATTGGTTCTGTGTTTTTCTTTGTTGTTTTTTTTTTTAATTTAGTTTGTTTATTTTTCAATGCAGTGAACATCTACAGAGATTTTGGAATTCCATTCATTCATTGTTGCACCCTTCTGCCCGCACAACCCCCCCCCCCCCCGTTCGCTCCTCTCCTTGAAAAGCAAAACTCCCTCATTGGTTCTGTGTTTTAACAGTGGTGGTTGTTTTGTATTCCCACTTTAGAATATTACCCAGTCCTTTGAAACCAATTTACCTTTGCAACAAAAGAATACAGTGCATCTTAAGTAATATACCACAGGTCTTTCCTCTCTTGACCACTGTACATGCCCTTTAATGGAAGGGGGTTGACGGAAGTCGATACACCAAAGGTTTCTTATCCAGTTCTGCAGATTCATTGTGTCCTCTGAGTGAGGCTTTTGTTGTTCCTCTTTGATGTGTATAATGAGGATACTGATACCCCACAGTGTGGACATTGTCAGAAGTCGCACAGTTAACAGAGGTTAAAAGTGAACTACAGAGTTTTCTGTTACTTGTTCAGAATGAATGTTTCAGGTTAAAATAGCTCTTGCATGGAAATCGTTGAACCCAGTTCTCAATCTCGGCTGTACATTTTAATCTCAAGGCCTTTCAAGTTAAGTAGAATGTCGGTGAATTGTGGGATCTTGATTGTGAGAAAGAACCCTGTGAGAACTTGAAGTAATTGTAAGATATGCTTCATGGACATCATATTCTAATTACCAGGTTTCCGTTCCCAAGGCCGTGCCGGAGGTGCCTGCACTGCATTTGTCCCACATTTCCTCCCTAAAAAGGCAGTTCACCCTTCGGCTTCTTGGCCAGTTCCCTGTGGCTGACTTGTTTCTTATATTGCCCTGACTCTCTTACCAAAGATGCCGTTTTTTGAAGGTAGGTCCTCCTCAGGATTTCCCTAAATGAAACTTTTTACTCTCTACTCCTTCAGCTTCATGATTCCTTTCACCTTTTTTTTTTTAGTCTGAGTCAAGGTTAAATGAATGACCTTATATTCTTTGATATTTGTCAGCGTGGACTTGATCACAGGTTACACAGTTATGACATGGCCACAAGTTAAGCTATTGGAGATCCCTGGTTGCCAAGTAGTAAGGCGTGACCAACCCAGAAGCAAGTGGTTCAAATCCACTAGCTTCTTTGTAAGAGAAAGGTGAAGAGTCTCCTCCCATTGTAATTTCCAGCCTCTGAAAACCACTGGAGGGTCATTTATGGTTTGGTTCCAGCTTGACAGTACATAACAACAGTAACATAGCTTTAGCAGGTGCGATTGTTGTGTTTAAACTGTCTGGTAAAATGCTTGAAATGTACTTAGCACTAAATAAATTGTTGCTGTTAGGTGCTATTGAATCTACAGCAACTCAAAGTGGAGTGGCCCTGCAAACAACAACTTTAAACCTTGCCCTATCCTGAGTCAACCTCTCCATTTCCAAAACATCAGATCCCATTGCCACAGTCACTGTGACAGTCCGTCTTGACAAGGGTTCTCCTCTTTTGCACTGACCCTCTATCAATCTTTCTCAAAGACCGGTCCCTCCTAACAGAATGCCCAAAGTATGTGACACTGAGTTTCACCATCTTTGCTTCCAAGGAGCACCCTAGTTTCATTTTCTCCCAGGCAGACCTGTTCTCTTGGCAGTCCATGTGAAATTCAGTGCTTTTCTTTAGCACTACAACACATAAGCATAGATTCTTCTGTCATCCTTTAGTCATTGTCCAGCTTTCAGGTGCATTGCCAGCATTGTAAGGAGCATGTCTTTTATCAGGCATACCTTAGTCTTTAGACTGACACTATTGCTCCTTCACAGTCCAGAGAGGTCCTTAACAGCAGATTTTCCAAATGCAGTTAGTCTTTGATTTCTTGACTGCCTGTGCCAAGGATGTCTATTGTGGATCCAGGTAAGATGAAGTCCTTAACAACTTCAGTCTTTTCTCCATCAATCATGGTGCTGCCAATTGGCCTAGTGGGGAGGATTTCTCCTTTCTCATTGTTAAGAAAGAATCCATATTGAAGACTGAAGTCCTTGATCTTCTGAAGCAAGCACTTCAAGTCCTTCTCACTTTCAACAAGGTTGTGTCATCTGCATAATGCAGGCTGTTGGTGGGTCTTTCTCCAGTCCTGATGCCACACTCTTCTTTAAGTCCAGCTTCTTGAATGATCTGTTCAGCATATACATTGAAAAGGTATGGAGATAGAATACATCCCTGACTCACTCCTTTCTTGATTTGGAACCATGCAGTGTTCCCTTGCTCTTTTCTGACAACGGCTTCCTGTCTAGATACAGGTGAGCACAATCAGGGGCTCTGTGATTCCCATTCTTCTCAGTCTTAGCCATAATTTGTTGTGATCCATGCCATCACAAGACTTTGCATAGTTAATAAAACACAAACAGACATCCTCTGGTACTCTCTGCTTTCAGCCAAGATCCATCTGACATCAGCAATGATACCCCTCGTGCCACAACATCTTCTAAATCTGGCTTGTATTTCTGGCATTTCTTTGTCAGCATACAGCTCTAGCTGCTTTTGGGTAATGTTCCTCAAGAGTTTGCTGGCATGTGATATCAATGATATTGTTTGACAATTTCCACATTCTGTTGTATCACCTTTCTTGGGAATGGGAATAAATATGGATCTCTTCTAGCCAGTTGGCCAGGTAGCTGTCCTCCAGATTTCCTGGCACAGCCTGGTGAGCATATGCAGGGCCGCATTTGTTTGTTGAAATATGTCACTTAGTATTCCATAAATTCCTGGGGCCTTATTTTTTTTTTCCAGTGCCTTCAGAGGAGCTTGAATTTTCCCCTTTATTACTTTGGTTCTTTACCATCTGCTACTTCCTGGAATGGTTCCATGTCAGCCAAATGGCTTTGGTACAGTGACTCTGTGTATTCCTTCCATCTTCTTTTGATGCTTCTTAGATCATTCCAAACTTTTCTTATAGCATCTTTCAGTACTTCAACTCAAGGCTTGATTTTGTACTTCAGTTCTCTTAGCTTGAGAAATAGTGAATTCTTCCCTTTTGATTTTCAGATTCCAGTTCTTTGCACATTTAGTTAATAATACTTTGCTTTGTCTTCCCAAATTGACCTTTAAAAACTTCTGTTCAGCTCTTTAACATCATCATTTCTTCCTATTATATTGGCTTCTCACATTCTAGTGCAATATTTAGAGTCTCTTCTGAGATCCATTTTGGTCTTTGCTTTCTCTTCTCTCCTCTGTCCTTAATGGCCTTTTGCATTCTTCATGGATGATATCCTTGATGTCATCATGCATCTCAGTTCATCTTCTATCATTAGTGTTCACGGCTTCAAACCTGTTCTTGAGATGATTTTTTAATTCAAGTGGGTTAGACTCAGGTCCTATTTTGATTCTAGTGGATTTGTTTTCATTTTCTTTAGTTTCAATTTGAACTTGGACATGAGTAGTTGGTCTGTTCTGTGGTCAGCACCTGACCTAGTTTTCACAGCTGATATTGAGCTTCTCCAGTAATTCTTTCCACATCATTATTATTTTAAATAATTCCTTATCTATAGTGTGAAATGTAGAATATGAAAACAAAAGTGGTTAAGTAATTATTTTTAAAAAAATGTTACCAAAAAAAAAAAAAATCAGTTACCTTCAAAGGGAACTGCTTCATTACTTTGAAACTTAGGAAATAACCAAGGATTTCCACTGAACTATACCCCTATAAACCGAAATAGTACATAAGGGAAGGAGGTCTTATCTACAGCATTATCCCAGCTAATATGCAGGAGGTAATAATATATCAGACAATATTACAGAATGAGAGTATAATCCTTTTTAATCTCAAAGAGTGAATACATCTAGACATTGAGTAATTACTGATACCGCAAAAAGAAATTCTCAAACCTTGTGAATATGCCTCCTGCTGAACGTATGTATGACACACTTACCAAGGGTTCTAACCTGAGTCCACTGAGGTCCCTGGATCTAGCTATCAATTTACAGAAATTGAATGTTTTACATGCATCGTTTCATTCAGTCCTTCTAATAACTCTGTGAGATGCTATTCTCATCCTTACGCTGAAGGAACTGGCAGCATTTTTTCCCCTTAAACTAGTGATCTCGCCACCTGATTTATCATGAATGAGATTATGGCAGAATGAGCTGTGATGGCATTTAAGTAGTACCTGGGCCAATCGTGTGGACTTGTGCCCCACTCTCACTCCACTCGGGAGCTTATAGTACCCCTGAGAGGATTGCTGTAGTATCTTACTTGGCATTGATGCTTTAGATTAGGCATAAGAATTGCATGCAGAGACTTTTCTTCTCAAATGCATCCTTTCCCCCCTCCCGTTTTCCTCTGACTGGCAGTGCATTGCCTTGTGATGGGGCAGAGATGCAGAAGTTCTGAGGTTCCTTTCTGAGCCAACCACTTGGCAAAAAGGGTGGACACTCAGTTCTAGGAAGGATCTCCTATGCAGAGCTTACCCCCGTTGTCACCCAGTACTGATCTCTTCTCCTCCTCTTTACAGACAGTTTCCATTTTGGAGCAGCGACTGACTTTGACAGAAGATAAGCTGAAAGACTGCCTTGAAAATCAGCAAAAGCTTTTCACTATCTCCCAGCAAAGAAGCTGAATAGAAAGTTCAGAGCAGAAGCGTGACATATATTCAGGACCATAATACAGGACGCCTTATGTAACACAACTGTGAGCTAAGTATCTTGACATTTTTTGTAAAAGCATGAGCAACAGAGGAAAAGGTAAAAAGGCATATCTAAGGGTTAAACACAATCAGCGTCAAGGACTAGTTGAAAATATTACTATTTAGAATTGTAGTAATAAAGTGATAAGCATTCAAGTGACTGTATTTTCCCCTCATATTATTTAAAATGCCAAGTTTCATTTAGAGTCCAAATCTTGCCAAGAAAATCTCTGGATTTCATTGTTTAATCATATCCAATTCAAAAAAAGTATTTGACTTCTTTGTTAAATAATTTCAGATTGACCATGTTTAGACAGTTCATTAGAGCAATTACTATATTTCTTTAGGAAATAACACTCTCCTGATAAAATAATGCATTTATCTGTAAAACAAGCCTTTTATATGCAAAGAATGAATTATTTATCAAATGCATACTATTTCTTTCAATTGTTAAAAATATATCCTTTCTGACTGAAGCTTTGAAAATAACCATCCAGCAAAAATTCTAAATCCACAGAATTTCCATAGCAAGAAAACACTTGCTTTCATTAGAAGCATACATGTAAGGCATAGAACAGAGGGGTTTTACTTAATTTATAGTGTACATTATTTATTGTTTGCTCAGCCTAAATGAAAATGAAGCTTTAGACCCACATAAAGCACAATATATCTTTCCTTTCTCAAATGAGTGCAATGATTGATTTGACTTGTATCCAAACCTGTGATCATGGCTCACAGAGATTATGCTAGTGTGACTTTAGTATGTTCAAAAAACCAGAATGATGCAACTATATTTTAAATACACACACATGTATGTACACATGCAGAAGAAGTATTACTGCCTTTGGGGATTTTGGCAGCTGCATAATAAGCACTTAAAAACGCCATGTGTACCACTGTCTTCCCATTTTTTTAATGAATTGTGATTTGAGACAAAATTAGAATGAGCCAGCCATAAAGAAAAATCTTGGTTACAAAGTAAGAATCTTGTTTCCTTTTTATCTTTAACAAGTAAGAGATCAAAGTGTCAAAAAATAGGTAAATTAATTTTAGCTTGTTTTTATGTTAACCTTTATCAAGAAAAAAGGAAACGATAGAAACCAGTCCAATGTGTGGTGTCTATGGTGACTGAAGGGAAAATGTATTTGGTAAAGAAGAAAGAAAATGAAGGAGAGAGAGAGAGAGAGAGTTAGTTTAGAACATTTTCCTGCGGTAATTTCAATTGTATCTGTGAGGTGGGGGTTTTTTAATCATATCATTTTGTGTTGTGCCTTTTTAGATCATAAAATGTGTGAACTTTTAGATTTTTTAAGAGTTTACAAAGACTAAGTGTATTTTTATTACCTCATTGAGAGGACTAAGAAATGAAATGTCATACTGCTTTTTTACTCTTTCTGTGCTTCAAACAATAAAGATATTTTTTCTTTAAAAAATAAAGAGTTGTCCTCTTTATTTTTCAAATTCTTAAACCTGGAAACACGAAATTTCTTATCTTGTAATTCGCTTAGCCTTTAGTGTGCAGAAGGACAGGCTGGAGAACTTGTCAGAACAGCTTCCTGGCCCCAGTCCCCAGAGACCCTGCATCACCAGGTCGGGGTTGGGTCCCTGTGGATTTCTGACGAGCTCATTGGCGCTTGTCTGATGCTGCTAATCAGAGGACCACACATTAGGAACCACTGAACCAGCTTTAGACATTTCCTACATATGTTGTCTTGTTTTCACATCCATCATTGCCCTTTAAAAGTGAAATAAAATCACTGATGACAATGAAAATGCTTTAAAACTCTTTCAGGAGGGTCATTTGACCTTGCTCTTTCTCTCCCTACTTCTTCCTTTTAAAAAAAAAACACAACAACACAAAATACTGTTGAGGAATGTTACTTCATTAGATTCTAGCCCTCTCTTTCCTAACTTGTATACCTAACTGCCTGATCCACATCTCCATTCAGAAGTCTACTAGATTACTCCCTCCTCCCACTTCCATCAGCTTCCCCTCTGTTATTGTTGTTGCTGTTCTTAAGTGCCATTGAGTTGAGTACTGTTCATAGCGACCCTATGAACAGATCTGAACCATGTCCTATCCTGTCCAGTGCTCATCTGCTCTGAGATACTTGAGCCCATTGCTGCAGTCACTGTGTTAACCCATCCCATCTTTTTGAGGGCCTTCCTCTCTTTCGCTGACCCTCCACATTTCCCAGCACAATATCCCTCTCCAAAGAATAGCCTTTGCTAACAACATGTCCAAAGTATGTGAGATGAAGATTTGCCATGCTTCCTTGCAAAGAGCACTCTGACTGGACTTTTTCCAAATTATTTCTGTTTGGTTTTTTAACAGGCCCTTACTCTTCTCTAATACCGTAACTCCAAGACATCAATTCTTCTGTCATCCTTATTCACTGTCCAGCTCTCAGATGCATAGCAAATGGCCAAAAAGACCATAACCTGAATCAGGCACATCTTAGTCTTCAAACTAACATGATTACTCCTCAGTAAGGTCCCTAACTGCAGACTTGTTCAGTGCAGTGTGTCTCCGGACCTCCTGACTGCTGGTAGTAAAATGAAATCATTACAATGTCAATCATTTCTCCACCTATGATGATGATACTTATCAGACCAATGGTGAAGATTTTTGTCATTTGGATGTTGAGATGTAATCCATATTGAAGGCCATAGTCTTCTGGCAACAAGTGTTTGAAGTCCTCACTTTCAGCAGGCAGGGTTGTGTCATCTCCAGAACGCAGGCTGCTCATGACTCTTCTCCTTTCCTGATGACACATTCTTCTTCATAGAATCCATCTTCTTGGATGATTCATTTCCCTCCTAGTCGTCACTGTTTCGAAAAATATCAACTCTTCTCACAGTTGCTCAAGCTGAAGACCTTGGTGTCATCTTTGACTCATCTTGCTCTTATTCCGCCTTATATAGTCCTCCAGCGAGTCTGGTCAGAATGAGTGGGACCCTTGACTATTTCCCAGCACCTCCAGGGCCAGCACTGTGGCCTCTTACCTGGATGAGTGCATTGCCTCTTTAATCTCTGTACCTTCCCTCTTATACAGATAACCAGAGAGGTTCTTGAAAATCCTGAGTCAGAGCCTATCCATAGCTCTTCTCAAAACTCTCCAGGGTACAATCTGACTTAGTAAAAGCCCTAACTTGACAGTACATGATCTAACCCCCGTTCCTTCCTCTTTAATCTCACTTCATGTCTTACTGTCAGCCCCTAAGCTCTGTCTGTAGTGAACTCTTGTACTTTGAACTAGCAAAACTGTTCCTGCTTAAGGGCATTTATACCCTCAGTTCCTCTGCCTGGACACACTCGCCCCCTCACCCCAGGTGTTCCTCACAATATCCTCTCATTACTCCATATTAAATAGTCACCCTTCTGCTATGTGACTTGTCCTTCTTACCTTCTTCACTTTCTCCAGCACACTCATTATCTTCCCATGCTGTTTTTTATGTGTGTGTATCATGCCTGAAATAGTAAAATCCATGAGGGTCGGGACTCTGCCTTGTGGTCCTTGATGGAGTTCCAGAACCACTGCTCAGATTAGAGGCCGCACACAGCATATAATCTGTGGATAAATGGTGACAGCTGCTTAGTTGCAGATTTTAACCTCCTCAGCTGAACAAACTCCTCGTATTAGCTTTGACAGCTTTCGAAACTCCATGGAGAGTCACCAGGAGCTGGACTTGACTAAGTGATGGTGAGTCTGTGTGCGTGCGTGTCATCACTGGAGTGGCTTCCATCAGGTGATTAAGATATTCCTTGGCAGCTTGCCTCTGAGCCTAGTTCAAGAAACAATGTCGGGTAAGTGCTCAAGCAGGAATGAAGCTTCAGAATTTCTATGAAGGAAAAAGCCGAAGCAGCCATTTCATATGTCGTCACATCATTTGGAGATATTTAGAGATAAATTGTCAGCTGTGGGTGCAGCCTGGTTCTTCTGCAGGGTCGGCACAGTGCTGTCACTGACCACCAGAGTGTGTGTGTGTATGTGTGTGTGTGTATAAATTCTCATTAACCTGACACTCCAGAAGCCTCATTTGTGTCACACTTTCAAATAAATGAACTCTTAATCTCGAGGTTTAAGTTTTTCAAACAGTGCAGAAGAAAATGGGACATCCAGTTAGTACACCTGGGTTGCTATTGCAACTGTTAACCTTGCCCTTTCCTGTGCCTGAATCAAGATCTCTGATATGCGCCGGTCCCCTGTTGCAGTCATGCTGTCAGTCCATTAGTTGAGAGTCTTCCTCTCTCTGACCTTCGACCTTTCTCAGCATGATACCTTCTTCCCCCTCCCAAAAACATGTCCAAAGTGTGCAATGACGTTTCACCCTCCTTGCCTCTAAAGAGCTCCCCGGGTGTATTTCCTCCAAGACAAACTAGTTTGTTCTTTGGGCAGTCCATGACATACTGAATGTTCTTTGCTGACGACAAAATTAAAGACAGCAGTTCTTCTCTGGGCTTCCTTAGTCATTGTCCAACTTTCAGATGCATAAGAAGCAACAGAAAATACTTGGACTTGGGTGAAGAGCACCTTGGTCTATAAATGGACGTCTTTGCTCTTTAGCGTGTTGGAGAGGTCTCTGACAACAGATTTACTCAAAGCAATGCATTTTTCTTACTTCTTGGCTCCTGCTTCCAGAGATACTGATTATGGATACAAGTAAAATGAATTCTTTGATAACCACAGTCTTTTCTTCATCAATTATGATGGTTTTTTTTTTCTTGGTCCAGTAGTGAGGACTTTCTTCATGTTGAGGTGTAATCCATGTTGAAGTCTTTCTTTGACCTTGAGTAAGACTGTACTTCTCCAGTAAGCACCTAGGCAGCTATGAAATACAAGCTTAGGGTAGTGGATGCCACTCCTGCTTCCATAGATTTTATTAAGTCATTTTTTTTATACTAAATACTTAAAACCTATGATGTAAAAAAA